AAATGGAAATGGAGTAAACTGCCTTATTAATACTTAAAATTTGATAATATATTTACACTTTCGATTTCTGGAAATTATGATTTGAAACTTGATGACGTCGCAGTAAATGTAACCCAACACATATGTTTATAAAATTGTGAGCGAATGAATGTGGTAGAAATTTAATGTTACACAAAGGCAATTATTTGAATACCTTCCACGTAACGGGTTATAAAAGAAAAGCTCAATATTCGCTCGAGAACGAGGAGGGAATTCGCGAAAATTTTGCCGATTCAGAAGCCGGAGCTTTCAGAGGGACAAAACGACCGTAAAAAGTTTTCCTTAAACAATCGCTTCTGGAAGGATTCCTCTTTCGTGGGATAAACGTTTATCCGATCAATGGCCGAGTTTCGAGGAAGGCGAGTTGGTATTTTCGCGTGCTGCTTTCAGGGCGGATCGCGATAGCGAGGAATTCACCGATAAACTCGAACAAAAGGGGGTGGGGGACGATAGCGAAGTCTTGGCATCTGGATACATCGCGAGGCGTGGTTCCGAACAAATTTTCTATCTATAGCATCGCCTACGTACCTAATGCCATTTGAATAACCTCGTTCATCTTTGTTCCTCGAGTTTAAAACTGTGTCATTGATTGGAAATTGGTCAACAGAAAAATATATGTGATAAAATACGTGTAAGAATAATTTATTATTACTATAGCTCAATTTGATGCAGACTATGTCTACTATAATTACATTCAGTACAATCTACGTCTATTCTAATTGCACTTTACGCCTCCAATAATTAACTACAGTTACATCGATCCTCCATCTCGGATTTCCACAGCAAAATTCCGTATGCAAACCTCGATGTCTACCCTAATGCACCAATTCCAAGTCCACTCGTTCATTTTTCCGATCGTTTATATTCCGCATCCGAGCGGCCCGTAACCTAACCATCCTCGCAATATGAAGCTGCAGATGGAACAAAGTATGAAAGTGGGATATTCCATTTGGCCATAGCCAGGAAAGTGGGTGGCGATGAACGAAGACGAAGAGAAGGTGGACGGTCCGAGAGGGTTCGAGGATGTGATGGTGGTGAGATTCTATGGGTAACTGTATACGTGAATATACAGCGAGCCGGTATCGAGTCAAGGATGGCTAGACCGTTTCGCGTTCCTGGGGTTGCGTCGTCATGGGAACCGTCCTCTCTCATCGCCCAAAGTCTCTCTCAAGATTCTTCTTCTCTCTCCCGTTCGAAACACTGGCCCATCGACCTTTGTCTTCTTTTTCTGTTCCTTTTGCAACGATGCCCCTCTTCGGGGCTTGTTTTTGCGATACCGTTTTGCATTCTATCCTCGTATAGATAAAACGAAGAGACTCCCTGGAACCAGAAGAAACCGATTGCAGCTGCGACTGATAAGGCTGATGAGAAAAGACTTGTCTCGATGGCTGGGTTTATAATGTGATATTTTGTATTTGAAGGTTGGGGAGCCCCTGTTAGATATTCAGCATTAGGTGGAAAGGATGGCTTAATTTATTGTGGATTTATTTATGCGTCAGAATTGAGATTTGTAGATTTGGGGATTTCAGGATGTGACAATTTAAAGAATTTGTAAATTTGTAAACATTAAATTTGTGAACTAGTGAACTAAAAAATGACAAATGTGGAGAATTGAAAACTTTTGAAATTTTCCAAGTGTCAAAAACTGAAATTTTAGAAGATGGTAAAGAATGGTTTGAAATTGTAAATCGCGGGAACGCTAAGTCGACTCTGTCAGTGAGAGCGCACGTCACTGCCATATTGGAAGCGAGCGTCGAAAGCGGAGTCTACGATTGGTCGCGCGCCCATAGCATCTGCCCGTGGAAACGAGAGGGCGTCCCGGTGCTGGCAGCGTTCTACGCGAAAGGCGTCTCGACGCCCTACTAAAACCGGCACGCGTCGCCTAGCCATGGCTATAGGACTCGACCGACCCCTTTTACCGCCCACCCCTTTGTCCCACGACTTCATCCAGACGATTCAACCCCTCGTTGTTTTTCCTCAGGGTATATTTCAATTTCCTCTGTCACGATTGATCAAGATTTCTGCTAGATTGGTACAAAAGCTTTGTTGTACTTGTTTCATACCTCCATTTTATTTAGAGAGTAGTTACTCTGTTTTTACTTAGAACATTACTACGGATTAAATAAGTTAAGTGTTCACACGAGAAATCTGAGGTGACAGGGTGGTAAAGAGGAGACATTATCCACAGATAATATACGCAATGTATCCATAGAAGGGTTGATTCGTATAAAATCACTGCAGCAGGAAAAAGAGGGGGGCTCCAATATGGAGATAGCTGAAATAGAATTATCGTGTGTAGCGTCCGGAAATGGGGTTGAAAAGTCATTCAACGACAGAACGGGAACGTATTTTGCGCATGAATTGTCATTCCGCGCATACTGGATCGAGTGATTTCCGGTCGAATGATTCGAAGATGGAGGTCGAGAAGTTTTCTCGTTCGATATTATACCGTTTCGAATAAACAGAAGCTGGGCGGTCTTAACGTTGCCCCTCTGAAAGCCTGTGTTCCACCGTGGGGTGTAATTTCGCGAAAACTTTCTTTTCTCATGATTCGACTTTCGTAATCTCCCGAAAGGGTTGCTTGCCGCAATGAATGCAACCCTTTTTTCGCTGGGGTTTAATATCGTTTCACCCGGTCCGAATTAAGACTGCCAGCAGCTCCTCAGGGATCAGATTTTTTTTCATTATCTCGGCCACGTTAAATCTTTCTTTTTTCGGGGGGTGGAATCCTTGCGCGATAAATGGCGCACGGCTGGGGATTGTCATTAAATTAATTCTTTTTGCAGCAATGTTCTACTCTAGATATAAGAAAATGAAAGTAAAAAGATGTGAGCAATTTAAGAATTAATTTTTAGAAATTTAAATTTATATGAAATGATTGTCTGGATATAAAAATGTAAAATTGGAAAGTAAACAAATGATTTCTGCTTGGAAAATGGCGCGGTTAAAAATGGTGCCTCTGAAAAATCTGTGAAAAATCCATCTCCGCGTGAACCACTCCTGTGGGATAACGAGGCGATAAATATCGACCCATTACAGCAATAAGGGGTGTTATCGAAAACGTGCGTTAAAGTTACTTCCAGGGTAATAAATTTCACCGTACACCAGGGGTCAAGGTTGAGCGTTGTGTGTTTTTAGCGGTCGTTTGATAAGTTTCAACTATCGCTGTTCGATGAGAGAAAACGTATCCAGATAAATTTCCCTTTCGTTTACAGTCGACAGTCGTAAATTTTTTCAAACGTTCCGCTTACGAAAACAGGCAGTTATCGAGATTATCAGGTTAGCAGTATTAATCTAGAAGTTAAAAATTGTTGCAGTATATTTTCACGCATGATTATTATTTAATATTTATACATGAATGTTTCTGCAAATCTCATGATGCACCGTTAGATAAAACGCACCCTTAAACCAGGAACAAAAATCGTAGAACTCCGAATTTATCGTTTCTACCTCGACGAACTCTGTCAACCCTTTGTCACTCGTGAAAATTTGCATGAGTTCACCCTTCCAAAATAATGACGAATAATCGCGGACCTTTTAATTTGATTACACGGATGAGATGCAGGTTCACGAGCCGTTGACTGGCTACATAAATGACAAATGGACAGTTTCCGCGAAGTGTTTCATAGAAACGGTATAACAGACCCACCCCTTGCCACGGGGTAGCGAAAGCTTTCTCGTGTCCGGCTGTTGTACCCCCTCGACCAATCTCTTCTGTACACATCGATACTGGCCAACGTGTTTTTCGACAGTCCTCCCCTCTTTCCGACATTTCGCTTTTACTTTGCTTCTCCATGGTAATATCCCTCGTGGCACGTCCTGCCCACATTTTACCGAGGTTTATCCCTCCCCTTCTTCCATGCTTTTTCTTCGGCGTGTCAAGGAACGAAAAGGATACTGGTTATGCTTTTGTATTGGATAGGATTTGTGTATCTATGGGGTTGGTGAGATGTCAGAATCTTTCGAGGGGATGTTACACGATACTTTGCTGACGATTGTTGTGCAAATGATTTAAGCAAAATGATATTTATATATGATAATTTAGATGTTTCCAGATTTCTACATTTTAAAATTACAAAATTTTAAATTCGATTTATTAGTTGCAGTCAAAATAGAATTTTTATTATTTTTCCTCTTCACAGTCATGAAAAAGGACTGGCTTACAATTTATCCTTGACTCATAATTATTAGTTTATAAATTATTCTACATGTGGAACTCTGATATTGTTACTTAATGAGTACAGTATATCAATTCTAATAAATACATACTGTACGTCACTTCTTCATTACTCTCACGGCTGATCGCGAAAGAACGTAAATAAATGAAAGCGCAGTACGTAAAACATGGATTTTTCAAATTTAACTTGTTTAAGTATATCAGTTTCAGTAGTTTCGTTTCCTGTTGCTCGCACGTTGGATCAGTATATTTTCCTTCATCCCTTTCAACCGGTGTTCAACGCAGCGCCGTAAAGTCACCCCTAGAGATTTGACTCCGTAGACACCTTCGGTTTTCATGTGTTACCACGTTTCCCAACTTCTGCCTCGATTTCGATATTTACGCTCGCTTGGACGAATCGGAATTCATAGGCACGACCTCGATTCAATTTGCCCCGTGGAAGAGGAAATCTTGATCAAACAAATCTTTTCTTTCGGAAACTTTTCATGCGTTATCGATTCTCGAAAATTTTGCGCGAAGGAAGCGTGGAAAATATTTCTAAAAATCTTTCAAGTAAAATAGAGAAATATTCAGAAGAAATGAAAGAAGTCTATTAAAAGTACTCCGAATTAAACGACGTCCTACCACGAGCTTACAGAGTCCATTAATGGTCATACAAGACATGGAACTTTATACCTGGCGCGATATAAATCGCAAGAACCTACATAAACTTCTGGTGACCAAGAGTGTTATAAAATATGGTATCCACGAGTGGACGGTTTAAACCTTCTTTTTCTTGTTTCAGGCTGATGTTTTTCCTCGTGGACCAGTAAAAAAAAGGCCTCAAAGTGTACGGCGCCGTGGAGAAGACGTTTCACCCGTTCGAGCTGTGCAGCAGGTATGTTATTAATCATAAAATATTCTATAATTTTATATAATAATGTTTCACATTATACAACAATACAACTCTATAAAGAAGTTCCGTCGGATATAGCTTTCTAACTGTTAATTACTCGAATGACGGGTCAATTTGTCTGTTTTGATTAAGTAGATAAGTCGTAACCTAACCTAACGCTCAAGGGCCAGCAATTAACAATTACAGAATTGATATTGTTTTTTTTTAAAGACCAGTAGTCGAAATAAAAAATCGTATACGGAAACAGCGTAATAAAACGACATTTATGAGGTAGGATCATCGGTTGACTGTACCTGCTAATGTTTCAGGCTTTCCCGCGTGTTCCAGCCGGGAACACTGGCCGGTATACAAGGTGAGTTACATAAGCACCAATTTGCTATACAGTTTCAATGTTTTGTATCGGCAAGGGATATCTGGGCAATCTGTGCAAAATTTTTTACTTCTCTAATTTGTTACTCAAATTCTTGTATATGGTACATTATAATTAAATGCAGTATCTATATAATATTGTATTATTGGATCGATTATAATCTAAGTAGAAACAGTTGCCTCTTGTTACATTGATAAATTTAATATTGGTATTCCCTTACTATTAGAGCTGCAGAGATTCGTGAAAATTTCACAATTTTTAACTTGGAAAATTTTCCAAATATCGAAAAACCACTGTCTATACGGTTAGTCTGTACAGTAACGTCCGTAGCGTCAAGAGTCAAATGTCCATCTCGTTCGCTCAACTATGTTCTTATTTATGACATCGCTTCTGTCATCCGATGGAGTGTTTGGCTCTAGTAGGAGGAGCGAACTCTAGCAACCCAGGTCGTGAAAGTCTGAAACCTCTCAATATGTGTATCGAATTACTGCAACAGATTGCCCTAATACCCATCCCTACTCTTCACGGCTCAAGTACCAAGCTGGTTGACTTCAACAACCAGTATTAAGATAATTTTTATTACGACTCTAAATAAAGCCGTCTCTGAAAAGGTTAAATTTAACGACTGGAAAAAAATGTTTAACTGCCTTTACAAATCCATCGCGACTGGAACGTGTCCATTCACAGCGGCGTGTCACTTGGCAATCGACTACCTCATAAAATAAACAGTGCGTTCTGAACCATAAAAGTATTGAATCGACGAACGGTAACGAAAGCGTCGATACTAGTGGAAGATCATAAAGGATTTCGCTCGGTGTTAAGGAACTATCGGAAAGAAACAGTGAACACAACAACGAATTAATACGTCGTCCTAGACCTCGAGACCCCGAACTAAAAAGCTAAGGGGATGAAGCATCGTTTTCTACGTACGTACTCGCCGTAAACAGAGGATTGTATACAACTTGCGTGGCACTAAAAGCCATAGCTACTAAACCGCTCGTACTACCTATAAATGGTCGGGTTGCTATAAAGTCCATTCATGATCGCGTCGCTTGTACAACAAACGTCAGGTGATTCGCGCCTCCCCCGCGATTTATCGCATTGCTCTTCCACCGACAGACTCGGCCTTCCTGTTACCTAAGAGTCTACGATGATCAAACACTCAGCTGATTCTTATCTTGCGAGAAAAAATTAGTGCACTCGTCTTCTTTTGTGCTACTGTCTACACATCTATACATATAGGACAGATATTCGATAGTGCTTAGAATAGTGTGCACATAAGTACGCGAGAAGATACTAGTAGTTAATTAAAGTGAAACTGAAAATATCATTTTGGAGTATTACTGCCATATTAATAACCTTATATCAAATCGAAAGTTTGAAATATGAAAACAGAACAATCTCATACATTGACAATGTGAATTTCTGCTATTGCAGCTCGAGTCGATATAACCGGAATAGTCGGAAGACGCATTTGCAAAACGTAAAACTAAACGAAAGCTATATGTAGTTGATTAATTTCCGATTTAAGATACCTTTCGAATTAGTAACGGCCGTCAGAAGAAAAGTCGAAGAAGTTCTGATAATTTCATGAATATGTATAATCGTGAAGCAGGATTAGTTCGTTTTCTTGTCCGGACGCTTGGATCCAACGTTTTTTGTCGATACTTCCTCGTAAAGTTCCACGCTTTATACATTTTCACGAAACGTTCGAGACATAGGACGATAAAAGTTTTCTTCTACGGGCACGGGCCGCTCCCTTCTCGATATTCGACGTCGATCGCGGCCGAGTCGAGTTACGACGAGAGATTCAACGCGCTTAAGAAACGGCGCACACCGCGAATACAGACAGGAAATTTATAGATTCTCCTCGAACGGCTTCCAGCAGCCACGTTATTACCCCAATAATAAACTCGTTAATGGATCAATTACATAACGGACAGCTATCCTCCGTTTATGTATCGGAGTCAAGTTCAGCCACCTTTTAAGCGTCCCCGTTTATGCGAGTTTCAAGTTCATCGTATCGAGAAAGACAGCAAGAAATAGAAATACACTAAACTGCTCTGCATTATCGTTTCACGACCTCGAACATGTATTGTGACGCAATTCGCTTTTGGACAAGGCGACTGTAATTGGATAAAGTGTTAGGAGCAACAATTTCCTTGTATGATCTACAAATTTTCCGAATGCATTAATGCACTGATTAATGCATTAATCTTACAACGTGAATCTGATGTATCAATCGACTTTTTGCTGCACAGAATTTAGCTTGTCTTACTGTTCCGTTTAATCTACTGGGAAAAAGAAGTATGCATTAGTATCTGCATAAGCATGTTATGTATAATAGTACCTGTAATTTCAGATAAGAATTCTCAGTTACTCAATTTTGAGTGATTTGTTCGCTGACCCAGTGATCCAATTTTTCATTGGTTTTCAATAGCCCCGATAACTGAATCGTTATTTCTCGTTAAATTTCCCTGTCAGTATATCGCCGAGAATTCAGTAAAAAAGCGCCGTGTAGAAAATTGAAAACTGCAGGCAACTGCCGTGCTGCAAATTTTATCTCAAGCTCAACCGTCGGATGCAGACATTCTACGAGTGTGTTACGCAGTCAATTACCGACGAATTAATATCGAAATAAGTCTATTAAAATAAGAAACTAAATTAGATTTTTCGATAAGTTCTTATTCAAACGACATCAAAAATTTAAGCACTGAAATTAGTTGGTTAGTGAGATGCATTAATTTGATTGTTAGGAAGTATCGATTAGATTATTGACTCTAAAAAGACATCGCTGCGGCCGAGTCGAGTTACGACGAGAGATTCAACGCGCTTAAGAAACGGCGCACACCGCGAATACAGACAGGAAATTTATAGATTCTCCTCGAACGGCTTCCAGCAGCCACGTTATTACCCCAATAATAAACTCGTTAATGGATCAATTACATAACGGACAGCTATCCTCCGTTTATGTATCGGAGTCAAGTTCAGCCACCTTTTAAGCGTCCCCGTTTATGCGAGTTTCAAGTTCATCGTATCGAGAAAGACAGCAAGAAATAGAAATACACTAAACTGCTCTGCATTATCGTTTCACGACCTCGAACATGTATTGTGACGCAATTCGCTTTTGGACAAGGCGACTGTAATTGGATAAAGTGTTAGGAGCAACAATTTCCTTGTATGATCTACAAATTTTCCGAATGCATTAATGCACTGATTAATGCATTAATCTTACAACGTGAATCTGATGTATCAATCGACTTTTTGCTGCACAGAATTTAGCTTGTCTTACTGTTCCGTTTAATCTACTGGGAAAAAGAAGTATGCATTAGTATCTGCATAAGCATGTTATGTATAATAGTACCTGTAATTTCAGATAAGAATTCTCAGTTACTCAATTTTGAGTGATTTGTTCGCTGACCCAGTGATCCAATTTTTCATTGGTTTTCAATAGCCCCGATAACTGAATCGTTATTTCTCGTTAAATTTCCCTGTCAGTATATCGCCGAGAATTCAGTAAAAAAGCGCCGTGTAGAAAATTGAAAACTGCAGGCAACTGCCGTGCTGCAAATTTTATCTCAAGCTCAACCGTCGGATGCAGACATTCTACGAGTGTGTTACGCAGTCAATTACCGACGAATTAATATCGAAATAAGTCTATTAAAATAAGAAACTAAATTAGATTTTTCGATAAGTTCTTATTCAAACGACATCAAAAATTTAAGCACTGAAATTAGTTGGTTAGTGAGATGCATTAATTTGATTGTTAGGAAGTATCGATTAGATTATTGACTCTAAAAAGACATCGCTATGTCTTAAGTCGTACATTTTTAAGCGTACAACAAACTCTCCAAAGTAGCAGTTTACGCGCGAATGAAACGATCTCCTTCCTCTAAATCGCCATTTTCTTCACAAAAGGCTATCACGCTCAGTTATCGCGACCCCACGGCTGAAGTACGAAACGCTGCGTTCAGGAATCCCTTCTGCGCGCCTAACGCCACAAAACACGTTGTGCCTTTATTCTCGAGCACCGTGTTTCTTCGTCTAACTTAAAACGATTTGAACAACGGTGTTGTGTAACTCGTTAATAAAGTTTTCATAATGATTTCCTGGTTGATTAGCAAGCACGAGCAGGGTCCCACGCGTGGCGCGATCTAGTGGCGCGCGAGTCTGATGGACAGATGGAAGGCGTATGTGCCACCGGAGTTGTTGTCAGACCGTTTTACTTTACTGCCCCATAAAAGTACCGAGATTTAGACTGCAATACTGTCATGACGTATTGTCCGTAACTCGCGTACGCGCGATGCACGTACACGCATTGTTGGCTCGTGTGCGTCGACGCACGCACCGTGAAACTGTCCTGACCGTCACAAGACATCGTACATTACTCTTTTCACGTGTGACGTCACGCGTGAAGAATGACCGAGGACTCAATCGCCCGTTCGTTCATTCGCTTGTTGACCTGTCAATGAAATCGTATACACGTTGCAAATACAAAATCTGCTCCCTCGATTGTTTCGACGATGTCGTAGTTTGGCGGCAACTTTGGATCGTTAACGATACGTGTTGGAATCATAAACATGCAGACACGTAGAAATAAGTATGTAGAGTTAGACATGTATAAGTAGACATGTGAAGGAAAAGTGTGAATAAGTAGACATGTGAATTAGTGCACATCCGTCGTTACCTCCAACAGTAATACTAACTACATAATCCGGAAGAGCATCTTCGGGAAAAGAAACAAGTACGGCTTAGAAAACGATGTAGCTCGGATTCCTAAGAAGGAAAGCGTAAAATCTAAAGGGCGCTTAAATCGAACGCAGTCTATTAAGGCGATCAGTGGATTTAACCACGGATAAACCAATAATTTAATAACGATCAAGAGTAGTTCTTCGGCGAGATAATGAATACCATAAAAGACGTATCAGGAAAGAGTCGAGGCGTTTCTACATGAAATATTACGCCAGGCGTAGCAATGGAGGCCTGAAACGAGGATCGACGCCAGTACACTGGTAATTAGTGCACCAAAGGGGCGCCGATAAATTTTTTTCCTCGATATATCGCGGCGCTCCGAGGGTGAAAAAAGGAGAGGGAGAGCGAAGGAAAGAGAAGGCGACGAGACACGAGCGTTTACTCGATTTGCCGCGAGAGAGCATGGTGGAGAGAAAAAAAGAGCGCTATAGAGGGAGACGGAGCGAAGAAGCACCTGCTATCCATCCATTGGCCCGCAATCCGGGTCAGACGGAGCCTTTCGTTTTCCTTCGGTGCGTTCTATCGAGAGGCGAGAGGTTCGTCGGTCGAGAAGAAAAAAGAGAGTCCCGCGACGAGTGACGGAAAGTCCGTCAGACGATATTCAATCTCCGCGGAAAAGAGAAGAACTCCGACGGTGCACACACGCGTGCTCGCTCGCACGCTGGCTGATTCTCGCGACTCGGAGAAGGGAGAGAGCGAGATTAGAGCGTTTGCCGTCGAAGGGGGACGAGGAAGGGTCGAGGGGGGTTAACAGCGCGGCATAGCGTCAAGTGGTAGGGGAGAAAGAGAGACGTGTCCGTCGAAGGAGGGTTCGCTTGTCAAACGATCCGAGAGATCGCGCTCGCGTCGCTTTCAGCCCGTTTACGCGTCCGAGCCGCGGGCAGAGCTCTCAGTTGACGCTCAGCGAGGCTCAGCGAGGCCAGAGAGAAGAAAGGGAGTCTTTTCGTGTGTGTAAACATCGCGCGTGTGTGTACCGTTGCAACGAGCAACCGGGCTCTCTTTCTACCTGAAGAACCCGCGAAAGGCTGCCCGTGTTTCCAAGGGTTCCGCTACCTGTCTCTCGTCGAACAACAGACAAGAAAAAAAAAAAAACGGAGGGACACTGACGGAAGATCTCCGGTCCGACCACGAACGTTCCGTTTCTCCTGAATCTTTCGCCGGAGTTGCTTACTCGAGGCCGATTCGATTTTGCTCGGCGCTCGTGCCTCATTGGACGGCGACAGGGAAAAGAAAATAATCGAAGCAAATCGACGGTGGGAGACGAAGCGAAAAAGAAGAAACGAACGGTGCGACGAGTGGAGAGCAAGTACGCGCTCCGGACAGAGACGTCGCGTGTACATTTCGAAGGAAGTTATGAGCAGGGTGACAGTTTCTGTCGAGGAAGGAGACGGGACGACATGTGGCTCGACTATGACCCGGAGCGGGACGACAATAGCAAGATCGGTCGAGCAGTGAAAGAAACGCGGTCGTACCGTACGTACGACGAGGCGCGTTCGTTTCTGTTCTCGAGGGGTCGTCGATTGCCAAGTGACTTGTTCGCGACATGCACCAGTCGCGACACCGTTGAGCATCAATCGTCGTCGGTGACGTTCGACGACCGCGAAGTCGCGTTCACCCGCTGCTGTTTGTTCAGCGAGAAAACTGCTGTCCTACGTTAATTACCGTGCTAACCTGTGCGACAGGAACATCGTCCAGCGCTATATCGAACGAGCATTTCTAAAGGCGTGCTGTGTCGTTTTGTTTTCGTTTGTTCCAACGTTACGGTTCCAACGTATCGTTGCACCTGGTCGTCGTACTCGGATCATCGGACTACCGGTACTACTCTGGACATCGATATCGGACGACCCGCCAACCGATCCTCGTCGACGACGTCCCCGCACGTGGCCCATTCTGCCGCCCGTCAACCTCGATCAACCTCGATCAACCTCGCTCGTCGTCGCGGACGTTATCGGTGTGGTGGTGGTGGTGGTTGTGCTGGTGGTGGTGGTGGCGGTGGTGGTGGTGGTGGTGCATGGACCTTTTCTCGACGGATTTGCTACGNNCCCTCCCACCGCGGACCGTACTCACACGATCGCGTACCCGTACAATTTTCCCTATCCCCACCTTCCGCGCGCCTCCTCTGCTTTCCGCACGCGTTTTCTTTATTTATTCCGCGATTCCTCCTGGGCAACGCGACGCGTCTCCCACGTACACACGCGTACGCGCGAACGTACACGTACGCGCGATGAAACCCGCGTCCCACCGTTCCGCAACTTTTTGAAATCGTTTCGCGTCCTCGCGCCGCCGAACCTGGTATTTCGAACGCGCCTCGCGCTGTCCATTGGTCGTCGATCGCCGTGCACGCCGACCACGCTCGACGGGACCGTCCTCGTAAAATCGACGATAATAACTGCCGCTTCTGCACTCTTCCCCTCTGCCGGCCTTCTTCTTCTTCTTCTACTCGTTCGTCGCGTTCGTTCATCGTCTCCTCCTACTACTTCTTCTCCTCCGCTGGCCGTGTTCTGCCTGGCGGTCTAACGTTACTCGAACGAACATTACCTTGCCTCGCTGTCCGTCCTTGGATCGTACGCGCGCGCCGTAAACGTAACCGCGCGAAACGACGACGACGGATATGCGATCGTGGTTCCCGGTCGCGTGGTGATAATCGTCGATCGGAAATCGAATCGCGTCTACGCGTTCCCGCGGTTTCGCTCGGGCCCGCATTCAATCGGGCGAATCGGCCACGGAATCGGCATCGTCACCACCGCTCGTCAACGCCGTCATCGCGTCCGTGCCGAGCGTCGTCGTTATAACACCGGCAATCACCTGTCACCATCTGCACCATCGCCGATCACGTGGCTTGCTCGACGGCGACGCTGTACGACAATGTTCACGCCGCGCCGCTGTGCGGCTCCGGCGTGGGCCACCCTGGCTCCGTCACGC